CGCTTGTTGGAGAACAATAAAAACACTACACTCAACAAGCCACCAATAAAACTCAACTGCCTAACCTATAACCAAAGTCTCCTTTTAATTTGTTTTCAAAAAAAAGCGCTTGACAAACTTGCCCCGCATGCCGAAGTTGCCCCGGTCTCCCCTATATGTGAAAGTTATAAAATTTCGCGTTCTAACTGATAAATAGGCTACTTTCCAGCTTATATAATTTATGATAAAAATTCTCAGAATTCTAATTAAAATAGGGAAATTCGAATAACCGGTTAAGTATATAATTTTAATAAAGAATTTTTCGATGACATTGAAACTCAATTGTTGTTATTCGACGTTGGTATTAACACGTTGTAGAAAAACTGCCGTATAAAAGTATTACGAGGTAAGAATTGTGAAATTTTCATAGATATGAGATTACAGATGGTTCGAGAAGTATTATAATTAAGCTACAAAAAACATAGCAAAATTAATTCGTAAGTTTATTTACTTAGTTAAGGATATTTAATTTGTCATTTATTTAGTTTTTTATATATTGGATTTATGTAGTAGTTTGCAAAAGCAACAATTAACGTAAGCGACTGTTTCATAAAACGATATGCATTTCGAGCCTTTTTCCCTTTCTTTAAGTGTAATTTCCTAAGAAATTTCCATATATATCTTATTCAATATAATATTGTATAACACTGAAATATTTTTGTACGAAATATTGTGAAAGAGTACATTTTGTTGGTTGCTGCAACTGAAAAAACTACTAGATAAGTTTTATTGAATTTACTCAAAAGTTTTTAAATGTTGCCGGAAAAGTTGAGCAACTTGCTGCTAGTTTATTTTTATTTATTTTTATAGAATTTAACCCATTATCTCCCAAAGTATTTTTTGCCTAATAAGTTATAATACTTATAATTATCATGTAATTAATATAATAACTTCGGAAATGAGTGTTATAAAAATTTTCCACAAAGTTATGTAAGAAGTACAAATTATAAAAATCGAGCAACGAGTTGCTTAACTTTCGCCGCGACATTTAAAATTGCGTGTGTGGTGCCATCTGTTATGATATTTTACTTTAAAACATTTTCTTATTTTATAATAATAAAAAATGTAAAAACCTTCATTTTGAGCATAAGAATGGGTTTTATAAACAAATATGTAAATGCTAATAACAAGTAAAGTCTGATCCTACTCAAGATATGAAACACAACCTTCTTTATCTCCCCACCATGTCGACCTTTAATTTAACCACCAAATTTTACCAGTATCAATACTTCCTGCAAAATTTCAGAAATTGTCGACAAAAAGAACAGGAGTTACTACGCTTCAAAGAAAGTGAACAAAATTGTGCGCCATATACACATAGGCACACATGCACACATCTACATCTACACTTAGATTTTACAAATACGTGAGCCGTTCACAGCCTGGCACACGTATTTGTAAAATGTAAGTGACTCGTACAACATGAAATTCATATAGAACGGAAAAATCAACAGTGTTATAGGGGGGTCAACTGTAAATAATAATTGCTTTACATTTGGTTTTAAAAAAACAATTATTAAATATTACTTATTATATTAAATTATTAAATTAAAATATTAAATTATTAAATGTTATATTACGTATTAAAATATAATATAAACGAACTAGTCATACCAGCATATAATTTTGGCCTGTTTTTTCATCTTTTTAATGATGAAGTTCACTTTAAATATCCTTAGTCACGGACAGGTTAGTTAGAGTTGCACAATAGCACGAGATAGTAAACGAAGACAAAATTAATTATCGAAGTATCTTGGTTGGTGGCGGGTAGCCAAAACTACCTCAAGGCATTAAAACATGTAAATAATCTGCCAAGGAGGAATACCTGCCTAATGAAACCTACCTGTACAGTACATATATTGAAATTATATTTTTAATTTTTAATTTAAAAAGTTATAAATTAGTTAATATTTAAAATAACACTAAAATCAATAAAACAATTTACAATTTTGGTTAAAAAAACAAACATTCAAATAACTTTCCATTAATTTTATGCATTAATTTACATTTAGTACTCCTTTTAATAAAACATTACAAGAAAATATATTAGGTTGTGCATCAAACTTTTAAATAAGTCTGTAAAGCAGAGAAAAAGCGAGCAAACTTCCTTCCAAGCTTCACAAAACGTGCTTCGGCGATTTGTTAACAAATAATGACACGAGCAATTTAAACGAAATTTTGCACATTAATAAAAGTAAAATGACCTGTCGTAGCGGAGGTCGAATTTTATAATTCAATATAGTACCAGAGATATCGGGGGTTATATGTCATCCCCATGTGAAGTCATAAAGAAAAGCTTACCTTCTTGCTAATAAAAATTCATATGTGTAAATATAAAAGGAGTACGATACGAACAAATACGTTTTTGAGTGATAATAAATTTAAAATTCATTAAATTTGACAAAACTAAATAAATAATAGTGATGGATGTTAAAAATTAAAATTCGATTGTAGATGAAGTTTAATAAATAAAAGTTTCGAGGTTAAATATTCATTTCTCTTCTATTAGAACCTTGAGATTAAAAATACCACACTATAAAAAAACCAAAATTGCCTGTAAATTAGTAGAAAAAATCGACATTTTGTAGAAAAGATTATTTTACTACACGAAACAAACCCCTTTGGGCTATAAAATAACTTCTGATTTTATTAAAACTAACTTTTCTTTATTTTTAATTTTAGTTTTTAAATTAACCGCTAACACTATTTCGTATTTTAAAGAAACATTTTTTTATATTTATGATATAATCCCTTAATATAAGGGAAAGACAGATGTTATTATTATCATTTTAATATATATATATATTTAACCTGAAATTTACTTTTTGTATATTCTAATATCCATTTTTTTTTTTTAATAATCTGTTGGGATAGTCATTTAATAAAGATTTGTTTATTAACTGACTTTGTTTCTTTCTATTTTCTACTTTCGTCGTTCTAATCCAGATCTTAGACAATGCCACAAAATTATTCGTTTTAATTACTAGGCCCACCAGTGCTCAAGCGGTTCCGTTCTCTGAATACTGGGAGTTCGGTCGTGGGATCGCGCCTCTCTACGACTAGCTCACGGGCTGGCCACGTGGAGTTTACCGGATTTTCTCCACGTCTGTAATCCCTGAATAAGAGCCAATTACCCTTAAAATGGCATCCCCTGGGCAAATCGCTTAAGTGTTACGTTGCGGTAACTTAACAAACAAACAAACAATTTTAAATACTAAAGGACAATTATAATTTAGAACTTCATCCACATTAAAACTTTTTACATGATTTTATATTAAGTACTTTATATTTTTCATCGATTTATGGTTATATTTAAATAATCAATCTTTCTTATTTTCTAGTTCACATTCAAGCTTTAAAGATTCTATTTGCATAATGTGGGGTTGAGGATTTGTCACTAATGTGGGCACCACTTGTGGGTCTGCGATGTGAGGAGGTGTCGACCTTTCAGTTAAAGGAGGACATGCTCGCTTTTCCCGTGACACGAGAAAACCCTTTTCCTATGGATGGTAGTAGTTTGCAGGACGCAAAAAGACTCACACAGAGACCGAAGTTATGAAATTCTACGCGTTTATTTGAACTAAAACATTCTTACATATACGTCGTGTTACTGCCGTCTGGTCGAAGGGCGTCCCAAACAGAAGAAAGGCGCACCGGATTAGTTCCTTTCGATGCTGTAAGTTGTCACACACAACACAAACAACTAGAGGAGATAGTACGTTTCCGATATAGTCTTGGAGGTTGCGGGATGGAGAGTTGTCGCTGGGAAATTGGGTCCCTCGTCCCTTCCGTCCTAGGTTTCAGAGATGTGGGTCTTCCTGATGATTTTGGTCCCGTTCTCTGGGACTGGCGTTCTCGATCTCAACCTCCTCGTGTCCTTGGGATTTCGGGTTTTTATAACATTTTTCTTCCCGAAATCCCGAGATTTTGGTTGGTCCGAATGCTGATCCCCTGAGATTCTATTGGTCCCTGGTCTGTTGCCAGGGACGCGATTCGGGCCGCGGGGTGGCCGAATATCCCTGTCTGGGCCGTTCCCCTCCAGAGTCGGGTCAAGCCTTTTCCCGGACGACGGACCCGTAAATTTTACCTAATGTCTATTTTTCTGTCCCGGAGAGGAGGCAGCTGTCCCAGCTGCCGCCCCCTTTACAGGAGTGTCAGCAGGATCTGCTTTGAACTCTCTGTAAGGTGACCATCCAAAGTTTCCCCGACAGTCGATCCCTCGCTCGTTCTCACAATTGACGATCGAGGATCTGTCAATTCGGTATAAAATGCGACAATTAAATCGTCTCGCACCCCGTTCCTTGGTCACACCGGTCCTATTTAGGTAATAAGTCAACGATATATTGACTTTAGCTCGACAGCTGGTTTCCGTCCGGGGGGGGGTGTTGTCCCGGCCTCACAATAATTACAGATTACAGTATTATTTTTTTTATTAAAGTATCATATGTTATTATATCATGAAATATCTCTATAAAAGTTATTTTATTTAACTGTCAAAGACTGAAATAATAGAGTAAGTAATAGTACTATTACTTACTCTATTATTATCCTCTATTATTAAAATCTTGTGCATCCGTTCAATAATTTCATGTTGAAAAGTTGAAATTATTTAGGACTTTAGATGTTCTATTGAAATTTCAGGATTTTCATAAAAATTGTCATTCCTTGCAATAATTTTGTTAATGTAAACATAAATCTGACGATATTACGTTTAACTAGTTACATTTTTATAAAATTTGTATCTCTAGTTACAATATTAATCAAGCAAGTCAATGTTATATAATGTCAAGTAATGTTTCCAGCAAAAAAGGGATACTTAAAACATTCTTTTTACTTAGCTGTAAAATCAAAAAGGTAACTTTCTCTTTGATAATGATTAAGAGATTGGTGACTTTGGCGTTGGTATATTTCGTTATTCTTACAGATTTATACTATTGTTAGCGGATTAGCAGAAAAAGTTAAAAACACTTTATGGAGTTGTATCTTAAATCATTTTCTATATACTGTTGCAGCAATGACAAATTCGTGATTTGCGTAATGATTTACAGATACTCGCATTGAGTGTATAGAAAGTATTATGATTTTATGAATAATGAACAATAAAATATTTAATATATTTAAAATTTTTCCATGTAGAGTGTGAAAACAAATTTCTGAACTTGCTGTGACAAGTTTTAAAGCCCATTATTTCAGACAGAAAAGTTGTTATAGAATATTTTCTATTAAACGAAACACCTGTTTCCGTTGTAACTGTATTACTGTGTTCTTTTCACTTATTTAGAGTTTGTTGTTATTCTTGTCTAAAAAGTAGAATAAAATAAAATTTGTATGCATTTTGTTTTTTTTTTCAATTACCCAAATTAAATATTTTACGCGTGGAATTACTAAACTCGAAATTCAGTTTGACGAATCGTCGGAAAAAGGTTCGTCATTGCTGTACTATTGAAAAAAATTGTCTAAGTTACGTTATTTAGTATATTATAATTAATATGTAACAGTTTGAACTTATTTATAAATGTTAAATAAAGCTATTTTTCGAACCAGTTTATTATTAGCTATGAAATAATGGTTAAATATTTAAGCTAAATTATTTCAAGGTCTACAACACTACAGTTTAACAATATTATGCTGTAGTGTTGCAAACAGTTCAATAATTGTTGCAAATTGTTTCATTTAATACAACAATTATGTAAAATAAAAATACTTTTAACCTGTTTTCTAAATAAAAACATTTTATTTGGAAATGTAATTGACCTTGTTCTTGTTTAGACAATTGCCTTTTTTGCCCTTAGAATATCGCGCCACTGAGTTTTAAAAGTTTATTTTAAAAAATAATCGGTATTCAAACGAATAAGATCAAACGTTCAACATTGATTACTCCTCGATGTGGGTTCATGTCCGTGGTTAGGGGACCTCCCAGAGATGGTTTAGTAACACTTCTTTATCATCCCTGGGATCTGAACGCCCACCCACGTGTTTGCCGTGCGTGGTATTTCGTATGCCGGAAAAAAAAATCCTGATAGTTGAGGGGCAACATAACGTCCCCAACACACTGCTTTGGCCCCTGCTTCGGATAAACGGGAAGCTCAAATTAGGCTCCGTTTGAGTCAATCGGCTGGTCGTTGAGTCATTTTTTACCTCGGCCTGGAGTCAACTGATCGATGAAGATTGGGCGGATATGTCAGACAAGATGTGCTCTTTTTGACTGCGTTGTGAGGGTATAGCTCCTGAGAAACCCTGGTGTGACGGTCTATGGGAGTCTCCCATGTGACAGCATTCCCTTGTCGGGCCTCGTGGTGGGTGGGGTCACTAGGAGCTGAATAGTTATTCTTAAATATGGATTCATTAAAACCAAAAAGATCATGTACCAATGCATCGCCACTAAAGAAGGTTAGTTCCTCCAACCAACCATCTTATCTCTTCGTGCATGCTACAGGGGAGAAACATCTCTTTCTAAACATTCCCCCTTTTTTATTCAGAAACTCTTTGAATCGACCATTGGGCATCTTAAAAAAATCCAAAAGTTGAGGTCAGGAGATCTGCTTCTAGAAGCAGCCTTTCCTCAACAGTCTGAAAAGCTTATGAAAACAAAATCTCTAGGAGACATACAAGCCACCATCACACCACACACAAGTTTGAACTCATCACGTGGTGTGATATCTGAAATCGATCTGATATCTCAGCATGAAACAGATATTCAGATCGGTCTTTCAGATCAAGGTGTTACTGCTGTTCGACAAATTTCGATTCGTCGAAGATGAGAATAAGGTGTTTAGTTGGTATCAACTTGCCGTCTCGACGGCAAGTTGATACCAACTAAACACCTTATTCTCACCTTTGGAAAACCGTCATTGCCATCTTTTGTTACGGCAGGATATATGCGCTGTTCAGTTCGTCCATATATTCAAAACCCGCTGTGTTGCTTAAATGCCAGCGGTTTGGACATTCACAAACATCCTGCGGAGGTAAAAGCTTATGTGCACAGTGTGGAATTGAAGGGCACCAGAGTACTGAGTGCTCCAGTGCTCCATGCTGTATAAACTGCAAAGATGCCCATCCTGACTACTCTCGGAAATGTCCTGCAAGGCAGAGAGAGAAAGAGATTCAGCGAGTAAAAACTGTAAACAATCTCTCTTACCCAGAGGCTCGGCACATGGTCACCTCAAGCGCTCCTTTGAAACAGAAGACATTTGCGGCTGCTGTGAATTCTACAAAGACGCTTGGGATTCAAACTGATATTTCTGTTTTCCCAAAGAAATCTCTTACTCGCCATGCAAAATGTTTTTATACTCCCATCACAAGAAACACCAGAAAAGGAGATTACAAGAGCAAAAACACCCATACCTAAAACAGGGGTAATAACGAGAAACCTGGGTTCTAAAAAGGCTAGCAAGAACCCACTAAACAAACAGAGAGTGAAAGCAGCTCTCTCTGAATGTAAAAAATCAGAAGCTCACTCTATGAGTGAGTTTTCTGATATCTCTGATGAAGAGACTAATATGCAGGTGACAAAACCAACGTCACTTCCAAAAGAAAAACCCCCTGTAAAATTAAAGAGTGATACCCTTATTAAAAATGCTGCCTCAAACACATAATAGATTATAAAATAATCCAATGGAACTGTCGTGGTTTCCGCAACAACTTCTCTGACGTTAAACACTTGACATCACCTACCCAATCTCTGCGTGGCACTCCAGGATATCCATCTAAAACCTGGAGAAAATATTTCTTTAAAAGGATTCGATCTCTACCGCAAGGATGATGATAGCCACAACCGTGCCAGTGGAGGTGTGGCTATTTTGGTTTCCAATCGAATCCCATCTTTGCTGGTACAAATAACCACTGATTTACAAGCTGTGGCAGTCAGAATTTCTATTGGAGTAACTGTCAGAATTTGTTCTATATACTTGCCACCAGAAGTCAGAGTCAATGAGAATGCATTACTTGAACAGCTGCCAACACCATTTATTTTACTAGGTGACTTCAATGGCCACAATCCTATGTGGGGTAGACCTGATATCAATCGTCGAGGCAGAGCCATTGAGAGATTTATTGGCAATCAGCAAATCTATTTATTTGATACTGGAGAAGTGACATACTTCCATGCCGCAACAAGAACATTTACTGCCATTGATCTCTCCTTAGCAAGTCCAAACCTGTTTTCAGCATTTTCATGGGAGTTGGATCTAATCCACTCTCTAGCGACCACTTCCCAATATTTCTAAAATATCAAGGCAGAGAAAGCTGTGAAACAGCCCGTCCTCCACGCTGGAAACTCGAAACGGCAGATCGGCGTGCATTCTCCTCTTTTGCTGACATCACTGAGTACCACAGACAACTTAGTAAACCTTGAAACATGTATCCGCGAAGCATTTGTTAGACGACAGCACTTAGTGTCCGTGTTTTTCGATATAGAGAAGGCCTATGATCGATGTTGGCGATACGGGATACTCCGTGATTTGTACGAATTCGGGTTGCAGGGTAATTTTCCAATTTTTATAAAAAACTTCCTGCAGAATCGAAGATTCCACGTCAGGATGGGCAACACACTATCTAGGCTCTTCACACAAGAAGGTGTTCCTGAAGGTTGTATTTTGAGTGTGACTCTGTTCCTAATCAAAATTAACAGCATAGCCAAGTCTCTTCCTTCAAGTGTGAAACACTCTTTGTATGTGGATAACTTTCAGATCTCCTGCCAGTCTAGTAACATGAGTTTCATTGAGAAACAACTCCATAAATCGCATAGACAATTGGTCCAAGACCAATTGTTTTACTTTTAACTCGGAGAAGACCGCGTGCATCCTCTTTTGCCGAAGGCGAGGTTTGCACCTGGATCCCGAAATTTACCTAAATAAGGTCAAAATCCCAATGGTGAACGAGGCAAAATTTTTGGGTGTTTTATTTGACCATAAACTGACGTTTTTAGCACATTTGCGCAACTTGAAGAGTAGATGTTTAAAATCTTTGAACCTTTTAAAGGTATTATGCTGCTCATCCTGGGGAGCAGACAAATGTTTTATGCTCAGGATTTATAGGGCCCTTGTCTGCTCAAAGCTGGATTACGGATGCATTGTTTATGGCTCTGCGCGAGAATCTACTCTTCGGATGCTGGATCCATCAAGCACTGCGTTTGTGCACTGGTGCATTTCGAACTTCTCCTGTCCAAAGTTTGCATGTGGATGCTTATGAGCCTCCACTATCTCTTAGGATAGAACAGTTGTCTCTTTTTTATTATATAAAACAGAAATCTTTGAATAGACTTTCATCTAATAGTTCAGACACTCAGCTGAAAAGGTTGTTTGCTGCTCGGACAAGTTGTGTCCCTACATTCAACATAAGAATGGAGACATCGTGACAGGAGTTTAATTCCTATATACACCGATGGATCTAAATCAGATAACTATGTCGGCTCAGTCTTTGTTTGCCAGGATGAGATCGTGGCAGAACAAATTTCACCAAATTCTTCCATCTTTCCTGTGGAGTTGCAGGCTATTTATTTAGCCCTAAAGTATATAAACAGGAAAGGTCATCGTTGCTGTGCGATTTACACTAACTCACTCAGTGCACTTCAGGCTTTGATCTCATGTGAACCTAGTTCTCACTCTATAGTGATTAAAATTCAAAAACTAATTTGTCATCTTACTACGTTTAACTCGTCTATAAAGTTTTGTTGGGTCCCAGGCCACGTGGGTATAAGAGGAAATGAAGAAGCTGACACAGCTGCAAAGTCAGCAAGTCCTTCACAGCATGAAATACGTATTGAAGGAAGTGATTTGAAGCTAGTCGTTAAAAAACGACTAGCGGAGAGATGGCAAATTATGTGGAATTCACAAATCCACAATAAACTACACGAAATCAAACCTTTGGTTGAAAATCGGACTCATAATAGGCAGTATGATAAGAGATCTGAAGTTGTCCTTTCTCGTCTGAGTATTGGACACACTCGACTGACTCATTAATACCTTTTGAAGGGTGATGATCAACCTGTATGTAAATATTGCAATTGTACTGTAAGTGTTAGACACATACTTTGCAACTGCGTTGCTCTTTATCAATGTCGTAGACAGCATTTCGGATATGCAAGTTTGAGAGAGATTTTGGGCTAGAGGCCAAATCTTGATAAAATACTGAACTTTTTGAAAGCTATAAACATTTATAAAGAGATTTAATTAATTCATCAATTATTCATATACTTATTGTTATATTTATTTATTTATTATATACTTATATTTATTTTGTTGTTTTGTTTGTTTGCACGTATTTATGTTTTTGTGTTATATTTATATTTTATGTTATATATATTTAGTTTTTTTTTATTTTACCTTTTGCTATGGCGCAGCATGGCCTAAATGGCCCTTGCGCCAAAAAACTTCAACCAACCAACCATCAACATTGATTAAACTGTAATAAGAAGTAAATCTTTATTAAATAAATTTACCAAAAAAAACAAAAGTGTTTAATTACCGATAAATTTCTATTAGTTTTAGAAATAAAATTTTCATAATTTTAAATAAACGTCAAATAAAATGTTATATTATTATATTTGTAATAAAAATATTTATTATTCCCTTTTAAGTTAAAATGTAATGTTTCTGCTTAGAGAGAGAGAATACATTTTTACATTTAAAACGTGATCAAAAAGTAGAATGTGTTAATCCTCTTATTAATTGCGTCTTTCTAGAAAAAGGAAAAAGTCTGAATCATTAGGCTATTTTAAAAAGTGTAGTGTTTTTATAGACAATTTAACTATTAGAATAACAACAGTTGACAGATTCAACTTCAATGTTTTCGAGAGATAAACCTCTCTCGATGTAAGTAATTATGTGTGTAGGCTTATTTCTCCATTGTCAGAGATGAAAAATGTACTTTTCGTTGTCGAAAACTAATTATTTTTTCTTTTATATATTTCAGAATGCTCAAAAAGTCCACTAATTTATTTTTTTATTCTAGCGTAAATATTTTGCCCTTAATATACTTTTTAATGTAAACTGAATATTTCTAATTCGCTAATTGGGCTGCAATTTGAAAAATTGTAGACCAAATTTGATTAAAATTAGATTAATTTGCAGCTCGGCATTGTGACGATGTAACAATAAATAATTACTTGTTCACTTTATGATGAAGATCATGACTACTAAAATTTCATTTCTAGTAACATTTTTAAAAATTATTGTATTTAAAAAATTACAATTATAAACTACATTTTGTTCATTTCGACATTACTTTCTTTACTTTCGATTTTCATCTGATTATTGCAGTTTATTTATCTTCGATGTTCATTTAACTTATAACTTTATGTGCTTCTTTTTGTCATGTTCAAGTACTTCTTTATCCTCATCTTGTAATTATAATGTTTTGACTGATTATTTAACATAATATATTGGATCGAAAAATTCAAACTGGGGACCTATCTTTCGCGACTATATCTGCTAGTAGAGTGTAATCAGAACAAATTGTAAGCCTAAGCTTACTTGCATCGTGTATATATGTACTGTTGACAAATCAACCAGAATTGAAAGGACGTTTATGTCTTCTTACAGCGAGGACAAAGACCGAAGAAAAGGTTGAATCGAGAAAGGAGAGAACAATGAAGAGATTTGATTTGTAACCTATGACACTTAACATCTTAAAACTAATTTTCCGATTTAAAAATATATTTAACTTCTCCTTTCCATTCTTACGAATCAGGCGATGAATTCATATACAAAATGTTGCTCGTTGATTATTATTTTATTAAGACAAGCTTTTTGTAATGATACTTCCATACTGTTGTCTTTCAACAAGACAAGAAAATTGTATGTTTAATTCTCACAGCAAGAAACACATACCATTGCGACGTTTAATTAATATAGCCTCAACTGCAGTATGTTTTTCACATTTTTTTACGACACGTTATGGTTTATTCGTAATATTATTTGAACGGATTACTGTCAATTTAAAGTAAATAAACTGTATTAATATAATTTTGTAAATGATGTATTCTGCCATTATTATCATTTTAGTCAAAGTTCTTTATTTTGAAATCGATGTTTTAATCTTTAATAAAATGTGACCTTAAGGTCGGCACCTCCTCGGTGCCTTGACAGGATTGACACCACGGTGTTTATCGGAACACCGAAGCCGAGACGGCAATTACTACTTCACACACTGTCGGGTGAGCAGTCCTGTAAGTGGACAGACGAATTGGTAGTGTCAGCCGATCGAGAGACAGCATGTGGAAGAGACTCGATCTCCAATTAACAATTAACAAGGATTTAATTCAAAAATAAATTGGAAAGGATACAGAGGTTCTAAGTTTTTTTCGCGGAGAGAGAGAGTTCACATAACGAGTGCGAGTTGCATAAATATTGGAATTTAATTAAGTTTTTATTCATTACTAGAATTTATAATTTAAAAAAAATTCATCACTCCTTGGAATAAATCATTTTGTATTTAATAATAATTAATTATATAAAATGTTTTTTAATAAAATATTATAACAGATGACGCATCACGCAATTTTGAATATTTTTACTGGAAACTTACTCAAGCGTAAATATCCTCTATGAACGTAAAAAAATATTTTAAATTCATAAAATAATATTGCTACGTTGATATTATTATCATGAATAGTAATATTTTAAATTTCTTTTTAATGTTTGAATGTTATAGTAATAAAATTATTAAGTTAGTTTGTTAATCAGATGGCGTTATTTCTTAACAGGCCACATATGGCACCGTCATTTTTTATTTAGAATTTGCTTTCTTTTATTTAAGAAAAATAAAAAAAAACAATATCAAGTTCTTTATTACTCTTTTTTTAATGCGATAAGATTTCTGATACAGAATTAGTTAAGATTTTATTAAAAATAAATTTCAATAATAAATGAATAAAATAAAGACGAATATAAGATAATGTCTAATAAACAAAGGGAAAACTTAAAAGATTTTTAATTAGCAAGAGCAAGACTCTATTTTTCTCTTGGTAATGATTGAGAAGAGAATTGCAATAGCTACTTTAGTATTAGTATTTTCTGTTATGCTTAAGATTATAACATCATTAGTAGATAACACACAGTAATCTACCAACTACGGTATGAAATTTTCTGAATAAGTATACTTATTGAAATTATTATGAAAAACTCATCAGATTAATTTATATAAACTCTTTATTTGTTATTTTTTATATTAACAATATACAGTGTGTTCACTAAAACATACGAGAGATCTAATATAGCGCGTCCTAGATCGAGCACTCGATTTTGCGCTAATTTAAAGCAATTTTTAGCCTAATTCTCCATCGCGATTGTTAAGAAAAAAGGATTGAATGCCCTCTTTCTCATCAACAAACGCTAAGAAAGTATAACAATTTATTGTTAAAGGAGGAGAATGTCAACATTCAACCGATTAAACAGGAGGAATCTAACATTTCACAAATCAAAGATTACGCTATATTATTTTATTTCGACGACTTCTTAGTCTCCCCGGGCCACCTATAATCCACCACCTGCAAAATCAACCTTTACCTCAAAAACACTCAATCACCTGATCATTTTCCCAGGCCTAAAGAGAATAAAAGGACGATGCATCCTTGACTTCCGTGCGATTGTCCCTTAGAATCAATTTCTCTCGATTAATCTGCCAAAAGAAGACCTCTGGTGCTCGCTCGTCCTCACGAAAAAGGGAAAGAGGTAGGATGTTTCCGAATATTTTGTAAACTCTATCTTGGATTTATACTCTGTTATCAGAAAATTTGTGTGGCTCGAAAATCCTTACTGTTCATTAAACATGGCTTAATATTCTGTTTCATATCCGTACTCGTGTAGCCTTCTGTTGGATTTTAGTTAATCATTAAAGTTTTATTTTTGTTTCCTTGTTAATGGTGCCTGTTACTCGTGTATCGTCCGCACTTTATCGTCGATCCCTCTCACCCTCCCACTGGACTTGACGATCCGATCCTGACATTCGCGCACAGAAGAAACACGCCATCCACAGACAACGTGAGCGGTTTTCGACAAACCGTCGCCGGAAGAACGGTTAACCCTTGTACCCTGTTCTCACTTCCTCAGCCGTATCTTTACAAATATAAACAAAACACCAAACTCTTGCTGAGCTTATTATTACTTTAATTTCAAACGTTTTCAGCCCAATTCCAATTCCTTGTACCCTGATTGTAATCGGAAATTATCCTATCGTGGATATAGAGCTAATCAATAAGTTATAATGCTCTAATACTTATGAAAACGAAGCATGTCATTGAATTGCTTACTTATCTCTAGCCACTTCGAAACACTCTTATTTGATAAAGAAAGATTTTTATCACTTTATGTCTTAATGATCTTATTTCTGAGCAAAATGTTATTATAAATGGTTTTTATATTACTCTTCTAATCCAATTTAAAAAGAGTAGTTTGAAATGTAAACATTGCCTAGGCTGCAACTTGTACAATTACGACTTAAACAATAATTAAGAATTAATTAATTAAACAGCATTAAGAACTGTGAAAAACAAATAATTTGCAAATTGGTATTTTAATTCTTTTACGTTATAATGTTACTAGCAGATAAGCCCGGCGTTGCTCGGTCAAAAAGTAACGATAGCGAAGATTAAGATTATTACATTATAACCAATCTTACCTGTTTTCACAGAATGCAAAAATTAGGTCATCCTGATTCAAGTCTAATTAGAAAATCTAATTAGACTGATCTAATAAAATCTAGGTAATTCTAAAATTATGTTCGATTTCCCGCAAAAACGCAAAAAAAAAACTCATCTGCGCCTGTAAATCTTGCACGTCGTTTTATCTTAATACTTTCATTGTTAGTTAACCCTTCCATTGTTAATAATCTTTCTCTCGCGGGAGGAATTTTGAAAAATCCCTTCTTAGTGTACAGTACGTTCTCGTGACGTATTCTACGTGTTTACCAAATTTCAACCTTCAACTACCAACCGTTTGGGCTCTATGCTTATTATTATCATTATCAACTTATCTCGATTATATATATACTATCAGGTGAACCCGGCGTTGCTCGGGCAAAAGTAACGATAACTAAGATAAAGATTATTACGTTACAGTCAACCTTACCCGTTTTCACAGAATGCAAGAATTGGGTCCCCTTGTTTCCAGACTAATTAGAGAACTTTTAGATGGTTCTAAAAATATGTTCGATTTCCCGCAAAAACGCAAAAAAAAACTCATCTGCGCCTGTAAATCTTGCACGTCGTTTTATCTTAATACTTTCATTGTTAGTTAACCCTTCCATTGTTAATAATCTTTCTCTCGCGGGAGGAATTTTGAAAAATCCCTTCTTAGTGTACAGTACGTTCTCGTGACGTACCCTAACTGTGTACCAAATTTCAACTTTCAACTCCTAACCGTTTGGGCTCTGCGCTGATTATTATTATTATCAACTTGTCTCGATTATATATATAGATAGATTACGTTATTATTGAATATAAAATATTTTGTATACATTGATATAGTAATACATTTATCAATGTTTATGTATAATATTTTATTACAGAATAGAAATGAAGAAGAATATTAAAAACAGCTTTACCTGTTGGTTTTCTCGAATAGGATATCATATTGGGTGCCATCCTCAATTATACGTTTATATTTTCTTGACGATAACAATTGTCCTAGCAACTGGATTCTTCAAATTACATATTGTGAAGAAAGCCGAATATCTCTATACTCCGATCAATGGAAGAGGAAAATTGGAAAGGAATTCCGTCGAGTCAATGTTTTCTTTTAATGCTAGTATTAATTTAGGCACCTCTAGACTTACTAGAATTAGTAATAAAGCATATTTTATTGCCGTATCTAAAAATAACGTTTCCCTTTTCAATGATAATGCTATATTAGATTTGGTAAAATTAGACGAAATTATTCGAAATATTAGCATATTTTGGAATAATAGTTTCTTTCGCTATGATGATCTCTGTCTTCGATCGAAGCAGAAACGATGTCCTGACAATTTCCTTGTTTATTTAATAAGAAAATACAAAGATTTTAAACGTGGAAGAAATTTTATGAAGTAAGTATTATATATTTTTCTATTCTATACATCAATTTGTTTAATTAATTAAGCGATGTTTTTTTATTATGTATAATAATCGTAATGTAGAGTACAATTAAATCAAATAATGGGGCGAGACAAAAAATCTGGATTGTTTTTACAGCATAATATTTCATCGAAATGTTGATGTCCTGACAATTTCCTTGTTTATTTAATAAGAAAATACAAAGATTTTAAACGTGGAAGAAATTTTAAGTATTATATATTTTTCTATTCTATACATCAATTTGTTTAATTAATTAAGCGATGTTTTTTTATTATGTATAATAATCGTAATGTAGAGTACAATTAAATCAAATAATGGGGCGAGACAAAAAATCTGGATTGTTTTTACAGCATAATATTTCATCGAAATGTTGATGTAACTATTAAATATTATATATAATTTTAAAAGAAATTTTATTTACGATATTATAGAAATAATGAACGCGATCATACGGCCTATGGTTGGCGACGCGTCGTAAATTTGTTTTGATAGACTCGCAGCTTCGTTGTACGGCCTTCGTGTCAATTCTTTAATTAAAGTGAGTTTCATTCTTTGGGTCGATTGTGTGGTACTTTTCTCTCGCCAACTTTTTCTATATACTATCTGTGTCAAATATGCAAAGAAATCGGTCGTCATTGTGTCAGATTTAAATGATTTATATTTTTTTCTTGTACAAAAGGAATGGTTTTGGCTTTAACTACCTCAGCGGTGGAATTTGCGTTCTGAGACGAATCTTTGTCAGACTAAGAGATGAAATAGTCATTTTGATGACGCTTGTTAAGAAAAAAGATTAGAATTTATTTTAGAAATTTGTTTTGTTACGGTCAGCATCAATTGCTAATGTTTCCTTCTTAAAAAATGGCTTCGAAACATCTGTTGTGAAATAACAATGTACAGTATAATGTTTGCTAGAAATTCCTTTTTAAATGTGTACTCCATATCGGGAGGTGCTTGATATTTATTGCTCGTTTAGTAAATTTTCATACCGGTTAGAGAAAGGTACAGGTACTGCTCCTCGTCAAAAACGAACCTTATTTTTTAATTTTTTTACGAGCCAACTGCATTGCGTTTAGATTTCGGCCTTCTTTTCTTGCAGTGTAATCTGGAGTCTGTACTTTTTCCTTTTCTTTATGTTTAACTTTTTAAGTATTTTATTTATGTTTGATGACAATTGACAGGTTAAACCTTTTGACTGCTTCTATCTGTCGAACTGCATCATTGTTGTCAAATGATTTTCGTCATGCTCTTCAGTTTCTAGTATTCATATCGATAGGCTTTCTTTTACTTTCTCGCATCTTTTCCATATTTCAGATATTTCGTACTCTTGAAAAATATTATACACAGTTTCAATGGCCTTTTGCTACAAAATTCTCCATCATTAATCATTATTATTATAATGTATATACTGTACGTATGTTACATATATGTTACAAAACCTGTTATTAGTATTATTAAAAAGATTACTCGAAATATTACATATTTGAAGTAGATTATAATTTTTGATATTTTTGTTGCATTTTATTATTTTAACATTATAGTTTCAATTGTTTTTCGTTAGATACCCAATCGAAAGAAATGGTTTTCAACTACAAATACCTGCTTTGCATATCGGAGGAGTATCAACAAACGACGATGGTTATGTCGTTGATTTTAAAGCATTCCGTCTATTTTACTACTTAGATCATAATTTAATAGAAAAGAAACAGTTAGGTTTGCAATGGGAAAGCGCATTTTTGAACACTTTATCAACTGTAAACTTTAAACATATTGAAGTTTATATGTTCGCTGGACAAACTTACGACGTAGAAGCGAACAGAAATACCGAGTTAAGTCTTCCGCTCTTACTTATTTCTGGAGTTATTATGACATCATTCTCTTTCGTGTCTTGTTTAACGTTCGATGCTGTAAGAAGTAAACCGTTGATTGGAATTGCTGCCTATTTCAGTCCCTTGCTGGGAACAGTAGCTGCCTTCGGCTTACTGTTACATTGTAATGTAGAGTACGTTGATACGAACGTTGCTGTTGCTTTCCTGACCATAGGTAAGTGTCCCATTTTGATTTTCATAAATGCAAATTTTCCTATTTATCTTTTATAAAGTACTAGCTTACCCAACGCGTATTGCTGCGACCTCAGAGGAAAGGAAATTCAAGCACACTCGTTATGATAAAATTCAATTTACATTTTACCATTTTTATTAAAACTTATTACATTATTATTATTATTCATTTTCATCGGGAAAACATTTCAAAGTGTCGTTTCAATTCTATTTATTTATTGGAGTCCCATTTATATATATATATTTTTAATCCTTTATAATTTTAATTATTTAATTGCTCCTCCCTCTCTTCCTTGGCATGTTGTGAAATTTCTGACAGTTGGAAAATAAACCATTTTATTGTAATTTGTCTTTTTAAATTATTTTGAGTCGATATTAAAATTTGGAAAAGGGGATCCCTACAACGGTAAAATAGGCAAATTTCCTCCTACAACTTCAGTTGTTGTTCGGGATACAGTTAAGGTTTTAACAAAGTTCGAGCGAATACATAATTAGCAAAAAACAGTTGAAATAAAGTGATTAAACAAAAGTTATTACAAATATTGTAAATAACAGTTCACAAATGCATATATAGAGAGTTTTTGGAGGGGGAAATCGCCTTCACAATTTGAAATCCATCGAACTCACCATGAAATGCTCGTATACACTTGCGCCATTTTTCGTAAGATAAATGTACTATGCCAGAAATCTTCGCGGGAGTATATTAAACAACATCTCAAAGTTTCATGGCAATCGGATAAACGGTGTGGTAATGCATGAAAGACATACAGACAGGCAGACATACATTCATTTTTATATATATAGATAATTAGATGTAAATCTTACGAGTACAGATTTTATTAATTACGTATTAAATGCAAAATCTAAAATACTGACGAAACGATTGTAAAATAATAATATACTGTATAATACAATTGTAAATTTAGTAAATCATTGCATTCATAATATTTCCATTTATTCAGCTGTAATGAAAAAAAGAAAAAATATTGTAATTTGTGAAAGTTGATTATCAGATAATTTTATTTCTACAACTTTTAAGCTTCTCTATCTTTAAAAGACATGAAAAGCACGAAGGCAAAGGTTATATATACAGTAGAATTTCCATTATCCGGACCTCCATTATCCGGATACC